CAGGCCGAGGGCCGCCACCCGCCGAGCTCCGGGCCGGAGCGCGCGGCCGCCGAGCCGGGCCGCGGTGGGGACGGCGCCCTTTGTCCCCCCGAGACTCCGGAAAGTTTGCGGCGGGACGCACGCGGGGAGGCGGCCGGGGCAGCCCCGACGTCGCGGGAGCGAGTGCGCCGAGCCAGCATGGGCAGCGGGCGCGGCGCGGGGGGCCGCGGCGGGGCCGCCCCAGGCGTGCTGCTGGCTCTGGCCGCCGCGCTCCTGGCCCCCGGCTCGGCCAGCGAGTACGACTACGTGAGCTTCCAGTCGGACATCGGCTCGTACCAGAGCGGGCGCTTCTACACCAAGCCGCCGCAGTGCGTGGACATCCCGGTGGACCTGCGGCTGTGCCACAACGTGGGTTACAAGAAGATGGTACTGCCCAACCTGCTGGAGCACGAGACCATGGCCGAGGTGAAGCAGCAGGCCAGCAGCTGGGTGCCCCTGCTCAACAAGAACTGCCACATCGGCACCCAGGTCTTCCTCTGCTCGCTCTTCGCGCCCGTGTGCCTCGACCGGCCCATCTACCCGTGCCGCTGGCTCTGCGAGGCCGTGCGCGACTCGTGTGAGCCGGTCATGCAGTTCTTCGGATTCTACTGGCCGGAGATGCTCAAGTGCGACAAGTTCCCCGAGGGCGACGTCTGCATCGCCATGACCCCGCCCAATGCCACCGAAGCCTCCAAGCCCCAGGGTAAGGCCGCCCCTCCCTCGCCCGCGCGACCCCCGCCCGGGGCGGTGGGGCCCCGGGGCTGCAGCGGGCGCGGCAGACACCCCTGCCACCCCGACCTGCGCCCCTGCTCTCTGTCCCCCGCAGTTCGGACGTGCTTCCTAGAGTTTGCTCTCCAACTGCAGAGTGAGTTTTTGAAAGCCTCTGGTCCGTCCGAGGTGTTGCTTAGCGCCTCTCGCGACCCAGGCGCGCAGCGGGCTGGTCCCGCGGCGGCGGCCGCGCACACACTCGGCGCGGGTCCTGGAGCGGCTCTGCCTGGGACGCACTCTCGCTTTTCCATACTTGGAACGACGTCTTACGCTCCCAATAAAAGGAGAGCTCTTCTCACTGGGAGGGAACCGAGTCCCTGTCGAAGTTTTAAACATCCTAAACGGGATGCCCCAGGAGGAGAAAAGAAATCACCCCAAACCTAAAGTGTAGAAAGCTCAGATAGGTTGAGAAAACGCTGACGCACAGCTTTATTTTCATATGTTCGATGAGGATTTGTTATTTTTTTTAAAAACTTTCTTTAGCTAGTTTTGCCCCGAGCAGCAACAGGACTGCTGCAGAAGGTTTAGGAGCTGAGGGGATTTCCGGTTCTCCATCCCTTCCAGGTAACTGCTTCGGGAGGGTTGGGGGATGGAAAGCCTCTTCCCTTGCCTGCGGGCACACCTCTGCTTCTCTCATTTACACAAATCCTCAGGTAATTAGAAAGATAAAAATGTAATGAGCTCATTGTTCATCTCTCTTTGGGGGAATGGGGCTCGGCATTTGGAGTCTATCCTAACAGCCCTGGAGGGGGCCCGAGGCTCCTCTCCGACACCCTCTCACTTAGAAGTTCTGAGTGGGAGGGGAAAAAAAA